AACATAAAATTGGGGGGACACAAAGGAGAACTAAGAGGGAATGTATAGTGCTAAATGTAAATATTAAAATTTAAAGTCTCAAATCAATAATCTAACCTCTCACTTCAAGAATCTAGAAAAAGAAGAGCAAAACAAACCCAAAGCAAGCAAAAGGAAAAATTAATAATAAAAAAAATCAATAAAATTAAAAAACAGAAAGACAACAGAAAAAATCAATTTTTAAAAAGAGCTGGATCTTTGGAGAGATTTTTAAAAATTGACACTCTTGTACAAGCGTGGCAAAAAGAGAGAGAGAGAGAGAGAGAGAGAGAGAGAGAGAGAGAGAGAGAGAAAACACCAATATCAGAAATAAAGCAGAGAATATCTGCACACATCAAGGAATGCTATGAACAAATCCAGGTATGTAAATTTCACAACTTTGATTAAATGGACCAATTTCTTGAAAAACACAACTACCACCATTACCGATATGAGATAAAAATTTTTAATGACCTATAATTTTAAAATGCTCAGGAGAAAATTTTCCAGGTTCAGAAAATTTCATTGGGTAATTCTACAAAACATTTAAAGACTTAACATCCGTTCTAAGCAACTGATTTCAGAAAACTGAAAAGGAGAAAAAGTCCTATTTCATTGTATGAAGCCAGTAGTTCCACAGCAAACTAAAGACATTATTTAAAAATAATTACAGATATTCCTTACGAATACAAACATAAGCACCCTTAAAATATTAGCAAATATAATTCTGCAATCTATACAAAGGATTATACACCATGACCAAGTGAGGTTTCTTCCAGGGAAGTAGGGGCTAGTTCAATATTTGAGAAGAAATCCATATAATCTACCATTTTAATAGGCTAAAGAAAAATCATGTAATCATATCAATCAATGCAAAAAAAGAAAAAAAAAGCATCTGATTGAAATATGGTAGCAATCATACTTGGGTAAAAACTACTGTTTGAATTTTAACCCTACTATTCTGACTTCAACCTTCACTTACTTGCTTTGTTCATCGCGCAATGGGCTTAGGGAGATGAGTTCAAGCTCTGGGCAAGGTTATAGGCAGAACTTTCTTTTTCATTAAAGAGCCAGCCCTATGTACACTTAGTGGTTATCTCGATGCTGGCCTCGAAAACAATGCTGTTCTATCCAATTAAAAAAAAAAGTACACCTGGCATGGTATTGAGATTGTGGGCATATCTGGTCTCTTGCCTGCAAGGTCAGACAGCTAAGTTTATCTTCATCATTCTTCAAAAGGGCTAAAGCAAACTAGAAAGCAACATTTTATCTAGGAAGAACAGCAGAAAATTCCAAACAACAGTTTGTTGCAGAATGGGGGTTTTCCTTCTCAGAACCTTTAAAAATAACTACCTGCCCCTAAAGCGGGTCTGCCTGTGTGTGGTATTCTTGCGGCTGCCCTGGCCAATAAATTCTTGTTTGCTTTTTTTTTAATAAATTACCAGCCTCCGGTGGTCTTATTTTGAACCCAGGGTTCGACTCCACAACACGATAAATTTCAATATCCATTCATGATAAGAACTCTTGGAATAGCAATAGAGGGAAGCTTCTTCTATTGATAAAGGACATGTACGAAAAACCCTCCAGCCAATATTACACTTCATGGTGGAAGACTGAGCGCCTTCTCCCTGAGATCAGGACAAGGCAGTACCCCCATTCTCATCAAAGACCCCCAACTCTGCCCACCGCTCCCTGGTCCTTTCCCAGAACCACTTCCCAGCTGCCTCCCTCCCTCTAAAGCACAGGAGTCCCCTCCCAGCTTTCCTGGAGCCAGGCCTGAGGAGCCGCATTCCAAGCACCAGGAAAATAAATACCAAGTGAATAGAATTCACCACGTGTTAATACTCTAACCCGTGCCTTCTAGTAAAGCTCAGCTGTAACAGTAGTCCATTTTTTAATGATAGGCTACTTTTAGAAAGTGAGATTTCTTTTATAAGGAGAAATCTAATATTAAACTACTATTCATACCCCTGGGCAAGAACTGCTTTCACTGCTGCTAATGCATCTTGCTTGACTGACTACCCTGAGAATCAGCAAAACAGGGACCCAAGAAAGTGAGGGCAAGCTGTTATAACAGCAGCCTGCCTACTCACCGGGAGGGGCTGGTTAGGCAGCCTGGCTCACTTCCCTTAACACTCCAGGTGTTGTTTCCACGGCTGGGAAATCATAGAGATTACACCAGAGTTCATCTGCTTTACTCTAGCCCACAGTTTCACATTCAGTTCTAATAAACTTAGCTGGTTTCCAGTTCATGGCTCATCAGAAGGAATACATTTCATAGTCAGAAAAGCACTTGGTTCATTCAGTTACCATTAGTCGAGTGCCTAAGAAGTTCCAGGTACTTGGAGACAGACATTGACCGATATTTCGATATAGTGATCCCCATCCTCCCTAGCTTATATAGAGGGGGCTCAGAGAGAAGAATAAATTAAAATTAAATTAAATAATTACAAAGTGTGACAACGGCTGACATGGTTACAAACAGACCTGAGGAGCTTACACTTTCTCCAGATATGAAAAGCAATTTCCTTTCCAACACTGATGAAATACAGAATTAAAAATTCAACCCTAGCTGATTTGGCTCAGTGGGCAGAGCCTCAGCCTGTGGTCTGAAGGATTATGGGTTCAATTCCAGTCAAGGGCACATCCCCTGGCTGAGGGTTCTATTCCCAGTAGGGGATGTGCAGGAGGCAGCCAATCAATGATTCTCATCATTGATGTTTCTATTTCTTTCTCCCTCTTCCTTTCTCTCTGAAATCAGTGAAAATATATTTTTTAAAACTTCATATAATTTATTGGTCCCGAATATACTTTAAAATTTATTTTTTTAAATAAAATCCCAGATGCTGGTTTGTTACTATTTCTTTGTTAAAAGCTGAATGCCATCCCACAATCCTTACTAGTTCCATACTTGAGTTGCTTTAAGCACCTGTTGTAGACTCATGTAGGCACAAACTATCTTGTGGGAAATGTTTTGTTTTTAGGAAAGTGAAGTAGATTCCAAACAAGCAACCAACAAATCAAGCAACCACTTAAACTGGAGACTGACAAAATAAAACACGAATCTGGCTTCCTACAATGTTTAACTTCAACCAATCTGAGGTACTTTTTTAAAAATTACATTATGAGAGGTATCTCATCTTTTCAAATACGGTATGCCAACACAATAACCTGTTAAAACCTACTGACTAGCAGATACCGTTGACTGCAAATCTGACCCACACAGACAGCAACCTGAATTTCCATCAAGGACGCTGTAAGCACCAAATGGTGCAGCCAAGATGCTTCCAGATGTTACCTGGGCCTCAAGGGGAAAAACAGCTCTGAACTGTCACTTTGGAAGAAACCCCATTTCTTACAACTCAAATGTCATTTCTTCACATGTAACTCCAAGGCTTTTGTTCATTTGCTTGACTTTGTTTTCTCAAAATTATCCAGACTACAGGCTCTAGATTTGTTCCTTACTACCTCTACTTCTTCCCATTTCATAAAGCCTCACCTACAGTACGTTACTTCTGAAAGCTTCCATCTGGCTTTTATTTCTAAACACATACAATTGTAAATGGGGGAAGATTTGTAGTCCAGTCCTCTTGTCACATATTAGGAATCGGAAAGGGATGATCTCTTTTTAATAATCTCCCTTCACCAACTCCTTTGTAAACACCAGGACAATCTCCCTTTCATCTCTCGGGCATCACCCTCAAACTCTGCCACCCACCTGTGCTGCTCCTTTGTGCCCATGGAGAACATCAGCCTCTTAACAACCTTGCAGGGGCCTGCCCACCCCCCCTCCTCCCGCCTCATCATCCTCTGCTCCACAGCCTCTGGCTTCCCATCTCCGAATAAAAGCCAAAGTCCCTATAAAGATCAAGCTCTGCACCATCTAACTAGCCTGCCACCTCCTTAACTCTCCAGCCTCACCTCTTCCCACTCCTCCCCTCCCTGCTCCCACCTTTACACTGATTTTCTGCCAGGAATGCTACCCCCTCTCCGTGAGGGTCTTTCTCAAACGTGACCTTCCCTTAACCCTCCACCCGCCCATCCCATGTAAAACTGTAAACTTCCAACTCCCTATCCTCAAACAAACTTTCTATTTAACTTATTAATAGCTATTATCCCTAATATAAGTTCTAAGGATGCAAAAAAATTATGTGGGCTTTTTTTTTTTCACTGCAGTATCCTGAGGGCCGGGAAGGTGCAAGTTACCTGACAAGAATTGAGTAAATATTTGTTAATGAATGCAAGTGTCATCCGCTTAAGAGAGATTTGTTGGACATTGGGCCAGGGCCAAGTTTGTTAAAGATGAGACACTGCCCGTGCCTTGAGAAATGCACCAAAAACCAAAATGTGCATCACAGGGCTGCAAACTAAGGCCACGGAAGGAGTGCCAAATGCTCAGAGGACAAGGCCGGTTCAGCTACACATCGGCGCGCAGTGCTCCTCCAGGCATCGCCTCCAGGTTCCTGGGATGCAGGAGCCCCCTCGCCCTCCCCACGCCTGGGCGGTTCCTCATCCAGAGCAACTTCCGGCCGGTTTGCGCCCACAGGCCGCGGGATTTAAAGAAACAGATGTAACGGTCTCCGCTCTTCAGCCTCCACCCCTCTCCTCTGCCCCGTGGGTCACTGCCCCCCGCAGGCTGGGGCTGAACCGGGGTCGGACCACAGCACCCTCTCCATTACGTTATGTGCGCCCTACTTCCGCGGTCCCACCTGCTCCCGGAGTTCCCTTCGCCTCCTGTCCGCGCGTGCGCGTGCGCCAGCCGACCACGTGGGCTGGGGTGAGGCGGCCGGCGGGCGCCGCCCAGAGGATGGCCACGCCCCCGCGCAGTGCTGGCTTCTGATTGGCTGCCGGGCGCTCGCCCGAGCCCCGCGGGGGAGGCCTGCGGCTGCACCTCTAAAGGCGCTGCCAGACGGCGCTGCGCTACTAGTCCCCGCTCCTCGCTGCCGCCGACGCTCCCGCAACCCTGCACCTACCCCGCCGGCATGTCTCAGGTACCGCACCTGCCTGGCCGCGAACGTGCCGCGGGGCGGGAAGCCGCGTGGGGACACCCGCAGGCAGAACCCTGGGAGGTCTTTCTCTCCCGACCCCGATCTTCCTCCTGGACCTATGCCCAGCCCTGGCCCTCTGGACAGAGGCTGGAGAGCGGAACTCTCCAGCTTGGGGCTCCCTGCACCGCCATCCGCCCTGCAACTGCTGGGAAGTTGCCCACAGAGTGGACTTCGCGGTGAAGCGGCGATAGAGATCGGGGGGAGGGGGACTGGAGGAGGAGGAGGGGGACCGAGGGTCCGAGGTAGAAAGACGAGAGGTATAGGGTTGCGTGGATGGAAGGAGCAAGAGGGCCGAGTCCCCCATCCCGAAGGACAGGCCATGAGTAAGGGAGGAGCAGGGAAGCCAGGAGGCGGTGGCTGAGCGCCTGGAGGTCAGAGAAGGGGCCGAGTGTCCCGCGTGCGGCCGGGGGAGGGTGCGCCCGCAGGGAGAGGTGACCCCCGAGGCCTTTCCCTCCCTTGAATGTGGCCGCTTTTCCGAGCCCGAGCTGTGTCGGGCGACCTTTGGCTCCTTTCCTCTCTCTCTCTCTCTCTCTCTCTCTCTCTCTCTCTCTCTCTCTCTCTCTCTCTCTCCAATCGGGCACTGGGACAGAGGTTGCGCTGGGACGCCCCAAACTCAGGGGAAGGGGGCCAACTGACTCAGGCCCTGTCCCTGCCGTACTCAGGCCCTGGCCGCTTTTCAGCTGTTTTAAGCACCTGGGCCACCCCTGTCCGCAGCTCAGGGCTTTCCTGCGGAGTAACTCCCACTGCAGGCAGCCTCCGCCGGCTCCTTCCCGCGGTGTGTGCAGAGCTTTCTTAATTTCACATAAGGGAACCGGTGAGCCACCTCCGTGCTTTGCTGGGTCTTTCTAGCTGTCCGGTGGTGGGGAGGAGGGGAGGCACTTTCCTCACCTGCCTTGCAGGAGTGCGAGCTGCCTTTGCCCCCTTAGAGCTGCACTCAGGCCTCTCCCCTCCCTCGCCTTTAGGCTGAGTTTGACAAAGCTGCTGAGGACGTCAAGCACCTCAAGACCAAGCCCGCGGACGACGAGATGCTGTTCATCTACAGCCGCTACAAACAGGCCACTGTGGGAGACGTGAATACAGGTATGCCGAGGTGAAGCTGGGCCGCCCTGTTCTCCAAAGCAGACTCAGCAGCCTTGCTTGGTGCTGGAACTCTTAATCTGTGGAAACCCTGCCCAAAACTTCCCAAAGAGTTCTGAACTCTTTGGGCGGGATGGTAATTTTTCATGATGTTCCTGGAGTGTAAGCTGGGAAAGGTTCCTGGAGATCACGTTCCTACTGGGTTTGCAGACCTAGCACTGTTATTGGTTCTTGGTAGCTCAGGCAGCAGAATTCAAATCCTAGACTTTACTGAATGTCAAGAGCACTTCCCATCTACTTGGGAGGTGGTGAAGGCCCCCAGCTTGGACGAGATTTGCTCAACTTTGCTCTCGGGTGGCTTTGTTGAAGCACTTTGTTTCCACCCTAAACGGGCAAGATCAAAGTCTCAGAGCACTGGCAGTGGACCAAGCCTAAATCAGGAGCAGAGGAGCAGCTGGCTTCCTGGGACAGGTCAGAGCACTTTTGCTGAAACATTTCCTAGTGGCCATTCCCTGTTGAAAGATCTTGGTGTGCAGATTTTGAGGCCATAGTTTGAATTAACATATTCCATCGTACTGCCTTTCCTGCCTTCACCAGGTTTTATTCTGCCCCCAAAGTCCCTGATACTCAGACGTATATTTTTGCTCTCAGGAAAAATCTCCCACAAACCAATAAGAAATAGACTAACAATTTGGTGGGAAAATGGGGCAAGGCTATGAACATACAGTTCAAAAGGACACTCAGAAAACTAACCAGTAATGCATGAGGCAGAGGAATGGGTTAGGCAATGGCATGATTCAGTCCAACTCAGAGTTGGCGGCCATGGCACCAAAAAGGAGGTTACCCTCTCCCCTCCCTGGTGAGGAGGGTGAGTGTGGCCCCCAATTCCACTGCAGTTGAGTTGGAGGTGGAGCAGACGGGCTGGTGCAGAAGTGCCCATAGGTAGAGATCTGGTGCAATGCCAAACTAAACTTGGGTTCCCGGGGAGGCCTGACCTGAGCTGAGAAAGGTCTTGTGATGGAGGTGAGTTTTATGCTGGGTTCATACCCTGTATCGGCCTGGGAAAGGAGTGGAGAGATGAAGGGGGGTGGCTAGAGCTGCCAAGATGCTCTTCTGCCAAGCAGTGTTTTCACAGAGACTGGGCCTGCCCTGTTGAAAGATCTTGGTGCAGATTTAGTGTCACGTGAGGGTAGGTAGGCTGGGAACCTATAACCTCCCAATCAGGGAGTGATCAGCACCCTCTCGGGTTTCACAATCCAGTACAGTAGCCACTAGCCACACGTGGCTGTCTACCTTTAAGCTGAAGATAGCTCACATTAAGGAAAATCAACAGTTCAGTCTTCATTCGCACAAGCCACCATTCCAGGAGCTCCAGTGATGCATGGGACACTGCAGATGTGCAGGGTTTCCATCACCACAGAAGTGCTGTGGGGGCGTGCTGCTCTAGAATTTGGTTGATGAGTACAGGTGCAGTTTCTTCCGGGTCCCCCTGGGGGTGCTTCCCGGCAGGCACTTGGGAAGGCGCGATGTTCCTCTGGCACAGGGTGCAGCTGTGGGCTGTGGGCGCTGTGACTGCCCCCCTTGGCTCTGTTCTCGGCGTGGCAGGGGATAGGTCAGCAGGGAACTCGTGAGTGTGTTTCCCAAGTGCAACTGATAACCAGTCTGTTAGCATAAAACCATGGTGTAACTTAAAGAAACGCTGCTCTCAGGAAAAATATCCCACAAATCAATAAGAAATAGACTAACAATTTGGTGGGAAAATGGGGCAAGGGTGTGGATATACAGTCCACAGAAAAGGACACTCAGAAAACTAAACAGTAATCCATAAGACAGAAATGGGGTGGGAAGGAAACTTTGCAGTATTTTTTAAAGTTTTTAAAAGACGTTTGGGAGTTGGTTAACTTAGAAGACAAGACCCTCTAGTAATAGGAACAGTTGCCCTTTTACTTTCCCTGGATTTTAAGTCTATATCTCTGTACACTGTTCTGGGCCTGCTTACCTTCATGACAGTGTAGAAGGGATTGATGTAATAAAGATTCTTTCATGACAAGAAAGCTGGTCAGGTTTTCCCCTGGACCTGGAAGCAGCCCTAATGTCTTTCCTTTTCTTTTGAAGAACGGCCTGGGATGCTGGACCTCAAAGGCAAGGCCAAGTGGGATGCCTGGAATGCGCTGAAAGGTAATTGTTCTCCTCAGTCTCCCTCGTGTGTGAAGCCCGGTGATGAAACACTCCTGATTGTGGCATGCGAGGGGTGAGGAGGGAAAACAGGGTGAGGCACGGGTTGGAAACAGCTTGACCTGTGTCCGAATGGAAAAAAACTGGGCCACCTACTTTCTCTCTTAACACCAGCAATGCCTTTTCCAAAAGCACCATCTCCCAGTAGAGGTGTTATCGAGAGGAGGGCCACTGAGAAACCGATTAGAAGGCAGTGTAGCTGGCGAGGGCTTTATATATTCTCAGAATTAGGGGAGCTTTGCTGCCCACAACTCCTCTCCCCCACAAGGCCAGGCAGTGACCTCATAGCCCAAACAGCCCTCCCTCTCCCCCCCAGTTCCCTTCCAGCCAGAAAGGCAAAGAAAAGGGAGGAATGAGCTAATGCATGGCAAGCCTCTGGCACTCGTAGGCTCAGTGAATGGAGCTATTCTGTGCTAAGCAACAGCAGCCAAGTGTCCCAGCTCCGACTCAATCACGTGCCACCTGCACTAGCAAGACCTAAAAGTTGGCCCTGAAGGGCCTGCCAGCTTTTTTGTTCTCGCAGCTAGCTTCTGAATAAGCCCTCTGTCTTCCTGCAAATGAGAAACACTTGAACTCAAAAAGGATCCGAATACAATAAAAACTCTCCTAGGATTTGAAGTAACTGGAACAGGAATGCCTGTCCGACTGTCCGTTTTCACTGGGCATTTCCATGCCATCCACAGGCCCCACACACTCAGGGGCTGCAGACACGCTCCGCTTTCCGGCAGGTGTCTCTCCTCCACTGTGGATCCGGGAAAGGAGGTGCTACCGTCTGAGGAATATGTAGTCGGTGCCTCTTACACAGCAGCAGGAAGGCAAAAACTGGCCTCATCCCCCTCCAAGAGCCAGCTGCTTTTGCTCAGAGTCCTCAAAATGTTTCTCGTAGCTTCTCTCTGGGGAGAAAAGGGTGCCTGGCTCTGCTGTGTCACCACCAGCTTAACAGCTCTGACAGTTAAGAGCCCAAAAGAGAAATACTTGGCAGAGCAAACCGGGAAGTCAGCAGGACCCATAAGGCCACTGTGGCTCCCCAAGTGCGGCTCTCCTGGCCGTCTAGAGGGCCCCAACTTTCCCCAAGGCTCAGACTAACCCCTCACTCATGGCGGTGGGGGACTCACAAGGCCGGCAGGCCACTGGCAGCCTCAGGGCAGCCACACACATTGGTCAGTGCTTTATGGAGCACTGAGCATCCTCTGTGGGCCAGGCTTCTCAGTTCTTCGTCAGATCCCGGCCAGGTCTCCGAGGTGTGCCCCCCCCCTCCACTCCCCTTTGCAGGTGAAACAGCCTGGGAGCGTTAAACCAGAGCTGTCGGGCTCGGAGCCTGCCGCTTGACTTCCGTGCTGCCTCTGACAAACACTGTTGATTCCTCACAGGGACGTCCAAGGAAGATGCCATGAAAGCGTACATCAACAAAGTAGAAGAACTGAAGACAAAGTACGGAATGTAGGGACTGGGCTTGGCTGCCAACCACGCATGTCATCTAAACCGAAAATCATGCCTTGTTTTTCTAATACCACGGATGAAGTGAAATAATGAAGTTAACCTCCTTCCTGAACACGGTCCAGGATGCCGCTCCGACATGAAGGAGCGGAAACGGTTACTCGCCTTGCCGAGTAGTTTTTATCTATAGATCAATTAAAACTGCATTTGTTACTTTAAATCTGGTAATCTGGTTTCTTGAAAGAATTAACACTTCCAATCTCACTTCCTTTTTCTAAAGATTTTGTCCGGAAGTGTGTGAGCTCTGTCCCATCCCCACTCCTCCGCCAGGAGTGAGGCAGGAGTTCCCCCTGTTCCAGGCGCGGCCTCCAGGCAGGCAGCAGCCATAGGAGTGGCCTTACCCACCCTTCTCCCTCCCCATTCCAGCCGCTCCCCTCAGGACCTGGCAGAGGCTTCAGCCCCTCAGGAACTTTGCTAGCCTTGCTCAGAGGAAGGCGGGGTTGACTGGTGTTTGAGGTTTGTCTCCGGCCAAACCAGTCCACAGTTCCAGAGCCAATGAGCACGGAAGGAGGCGCATCTGCCTCGGGCATTCCCAAAGGCCCAGGGAGGCTTGGCCGAAGGCAGCTGGGCAGGCAGAAATGAGTAGGGAAGGGAGATGGAGACCTGGGGGTTGGGTGGGCAAGGGGTTAGGCTGCAGAGAAGAAAGACAGTTTGACCCCGGAGAAAGTAGGTTGTTGAAAAGTAAAAAGAGAAAAAGCGAGAGCTGCCAGCTGTCAGACCCTCCTCGCCGGATGTTCCCCTTCCCTCACGCCGCAGTCCTGCAGGGCAGATCAGAGCTTTCCATTTTGCAGGTGATGTTGTTGGGACTGATGGATTGGAGAGAAGCTCTCTGAGGCCAGGCAGCAGTCAGTTCTCGCCAATGCCTGTGCCCTGTCTTAGACCCAGTTCAGCCTCGTCCCAGAAGAACAGGTCTCAGCGTTACAGTGATTTGCCCAAGGTCACTCCGCTGGAGAATAAACGAAGATCCATCATTCAGGTGCAGATCGTGGCTCAGATGCCAGCATCCCCAGGTGGCCTCAGGCACGACCAACACTGCAGTGGGAGAAGGGGACAGCCAGGGGGCAGCAATGTGGCCGTGGTGGGCACGCCTTCCCTGGGAGACATGAAGCACAGAATGTGACCGAAGGGGATGGGACGTGAGTCAATGGCTGTTGAGAATTGATTCTTCCAGGCAGCCCAGCCTGCCCATGGGGAACCAGGCTGCAGCCCAGGGGTAAACAAGGGAAGGTGGCTCCAACAGAACAACGGGGTCACAGTCCAAAAGCCCAACACGTGGCCCGAGTGAAGTGAGTGAGGTGGCATTCGGAGGAGCAGTGTCCTTTATGTGGGAGACAGTCTTCCTGGAGCTGATGTAACTGAGGGCGGACGAGGCAGGGAGCCTACAGTCCTCTCCACCCCCCTGAGCACCAGGGAGGCGGAAGGAGCCACAGCTACTCACCTGTACCCAGATGGGGACCGTCTCCCTGGCTCAGTGATTGGCTGTTTGAGGAGTGAACCAAAGGAAAACAACCTCTGATCGAATCCAAGGCCTGGTTCTTGTCCAGACAGATCTGGCTCCAGGAGGCTGGTACACTCCCCGGGGGCGGAGGTGAGCATTAATGAGATTATGTGAGAAGCTCCTGGCATGGAGTGCACGCCCTGAGTGCCTCTTTATCAGGAGTTTTCCACCAGCTTTCAAACCAGCTCTTGTCCCTGACAGCATCGGGTCACGGACCGAGTCCAGGCACAAGTGCTCACTCCTTGGGTGACGCTGCCCAGCATTCTGCCCTATTTCTAGCCCTTGAAGGCAGCCTGGAGCCGTGTGCTCAGGCCCTGGGTCACCGCCTCTGGGGGACAGAGTCAGAGAGGACTGCAGAAGCCCTGATACAGCCTACCTGGTGCCCGGAGCCACACTGGGCTGAGGTTGTCGTGACGACTCAGCAGTTCTCTGTGGGTGCGATGGGAGAGAAGCACTATGGGAGGGAAAAGCCTTAAGCCCAAGGCCCGTCTGCCCATCTCTGGTGTGGCCTCTAGTTAACAGCCATCATTTGCTGAGAAGCTGACAGGCCAGGCTCCCATTCGGGTTCTTGGATTTGGTTCTCGAATGCATTCCTTGCAGTCCCTCACTGTGCAGTGAGGATTCCTGTGCTCATTGTTCACGTGAGGAAATTAAGGTTCTGGCGATGTGTGTGGGTCCAAACGCAGGGCTCTGGTCGGAAAGGCCCTGCTTGTCCCCTTCCTTCATGTTCCTTCTAATGGCACTGGCTGCCAGTCAGCTCTGTACCTCGCTGTCACTCAGATGACAGGGTGCTCCCCATCTCACTGGGCTAGCGTAAGATGCGGTAAATTCCTCGCCCGCTGCACAGCTCCTTCCAGAAGAGCGGCGTGGGAAAGCAGGTCACATCTCCACGGCTGGAGGGGGAGCCAGACTTTTGTGAGTGAGTCTGAGGCATGGCCAGTGGGCCCTCCTCCCACTCACGATGAAGCAGTGGGACCAGTTTCTCAGAAAGCAAAGCTGGGGTGGTGCTCTGAGAGCACGCCCAGCAGCCTCAGGGCCAAGCCTGCTCCTTGGCTCCTTCAGGTGCCCATGCGCCTCCCCAGGTGTGTCCTGCATAGAGGGTTATTTGGGAGCACACGAAGCAGTGGGAGCAGGGTGGGCACAGGCTTCCCCTCTCCTCTGTGACACGCCCACAGCATCCCTGTGGCACTGTGTACTGCCAGTCTGGCTCTGGCGACAGACTTAGCTGTGAATCCCACTTCAGCCTCTCCGGCACTAAGTCACTACCTTCTTGGAGACACGCTGCGTGTGGACAATGGGCTGATAAGGTGGGGCAAGTGCTTAGCAGGATACCTGGCAAACAGCAACTGGCTAGCAGCCTGGGTTTTTTTCCCAGCTGCATCGTCACCCGCCTCACTGACCGCACAAATCCTGCCCTGGGGCCACAGAGTGAGGCTCCTCACTTGGCAGTGCTCCAATAATCTGGGGGTCAACCATGCAGGTCAGTGGGGGTTTCCTAGGATGTTCTCCCCGCACCAAAGTAGTTCTTAGGCCTGGGAACCAGTGCTGTGGACCAGGGACCACACAGCCCGTGGGACTGGGGAAGGCCGCTGGTTCCAAGTCAGAGGCCTTGCCCAGCGCCCAGGGTAGACAGGGAGTGAGTTGTGTCCCTTGTGTAAACCTTGCTTTCTTCATCAGTAAAAGGGCTGGCCAGGAAGGTCACGTGTCCAGTGTAGATAAGAAGGAGAGCCACGGGAGGGGGAGGAGAAGGCCCTGGGGCGGTTGGTTTGGCGGAAGTCAGGCTGGGAAGTTGTGCGGGGGTGATTTCTGCTGCCAGATGGGTAATGATTAAAGTTCAGTTACAGGTGTTTGAAGTTGAGGAAGAGTCCAGAAGTACCCGGAGGCAGGCTGCAGTGACGCTGTGCCTTTGGGGCCTGGGCCAGGGCAAGGCAGCGCCTCTGCCCTCAGCCGCACCCAGGGAAGAGAAACTTGGAACTTTCTTCCCTTCTTACTGTGTATAGTTGTAGATGATCTCTTTTCCGAAAGAACGTCGGGTAACTAAGAACAGACCATAAAGTAAGCAAAGGGGCTTCAGGATGGATAGGTAGCTCAGGCTCCAGCCTTGCCTGAAAGAGCCACAGCACAGTGCAGAGCAGAGGCCCCCTGCAGAGCGCTCCCTGCACTGCCCCTGCTTTGCAACTCCCCTGCCTTGGATACAGCTCAGTCCTTGGAAGACTAGGACTTCGTAGACCCACAGCTTTTTCTAGGGTTTATCATTTTTTTCTTTTAAATTTTTTAAAAATATATTTTATTGATTTTTTACAGAGAGGAAGGAAGAGGGATAGAGTCGGAAGCATCAATGAGAGAGAATCATAGATCAGCTGCCTCCTACACAACCCCCACTGGGGATGTGCCCACAACCAAGGCACATGCCTCTGACTGGAATCGAACCTGAGACCCCCTCAGTCCACAGGCCAACGCTCTACCCACTGAGCCAAACCGGTTTCGGCTTATCATTTTTTTATAGTATTTTTACTAAGTAACGAATTAACATGGGCCTCCATTGCAAATATTTTTCTTTTTCTGTAAAAATCGCCTCATAAATTTTTTCCAGGGAAATTAGTGAGGAATCAAACATGGCACAGGACGCTGCCCGTGTGGGGCGGGGCGGTGTCCTAAGGAGGGTGTGACTTGTGGGGTCCCCAAGCACCCTGCTGTAGTGGGTTGAATTGATATGTCCAAGTCCTAAGGCTCCACACACAATGCCCTGTAAATGTGATCTTGTTTGGAAATAGGATCTTTGCAGATATAATTAACATAAAATATCTCAAAATACAATCATTCTGAATGTAAGATGGACCCCCATCCAATGACTGGTGTCCTTACAAGAGAGAGGAGGGGTGGAATAGAGACACAGACACAGAGAAAAAGGCAGGTGAAGATGGGGCAGAGATTGGACTTGTGCAGCAACTGGCCGCAGAAGGCTAAGGGCTACCACAGCAGAAGCTAGACAGAGGCATGGAATGGATCCTCCCCTAGAGGCCCAGAAAAACCAGCCCCGCTGAGACCCTGAATCTGGACTTCTGGCACCCGCAACTGTGGAGAACACATTTCTGTTGTTTTAAGTCACCCAGTTGATGTGATTTGCTGTGGCAGCACTAGGAAACGAATATGCCTGCTGACCCCTGTTACATATGTAACACCGCTGCCTGGAGGGCTTTGTTGTGAATAATTAATTAGGTTCATCTGTTAGAGACCAGGGGCCTTAAAGGTTCAGGAATTAGCATAGTTTTGGTTGAAATCATAAAGAAGCTAGAGCTCAGGTTGCTGCCATGATACCCTTGCTGAGAAATCATCACCAGCTCCAGGGAATCCGCATCCAGGAAGAAGGGAGGGAGAGAGGAAAGGGAAGTAGGAAGGAGGGGGGTAAGCAAAGAAGGAAGGGAAAGGAAAGAAAGAGCCCTGACCAG